GGCGCGCCGCTGCTGCCGGCAGGCCAAATGTTCCTGTAGCTGCCTCCCCCTCCCGCATGCACGGCTCCTGGGCCCCAAGCGGGCAATCCCCCGCCGGCGCGCCGCGCCGCGCCGCGGGTGGAGCGGCCCCGCATTCTGCACACGCGAATACGCGTCGCCTGTGCACGTGTGCACTTGTGCGAAGACGTGTCGCCTGCACGCAGCCCAGCTCGTTTTTGTGCACCCCCGCGCCGGCCCCTTTCATAGGTGCATTGGCGGTGTTCTCTCGGTACGCAGGCATGTCGGACGCTTATTTTTGTGTGCACGCGGTTTTTCTTGTGCAGCGTGTGTGTGTGAGTGTGTGAGTGTGTGTGAGCGCGCGTGTGCGTGCGCTCTTGTACATCTCCGTCTGAAGTCACAGGTGGCTCTCTTCGTGTCGGTGCATGTGTGCTGCACGGCAGCCCCCCTGAGTGCCAGCGCATCGCAAGTCTGCTGGCGTCCGGCGGCCTAGTACGTCTGCGGGCCGTGGTGTGCCCAGGCGCCCCCTGCCCGACACCCTGTCATGGATTTGGCACAGCCGCGCGCGGCACGCGGCAGGGCCTCGCGCGCTCTAACGCCGCGCCAGCACGTGGTGCGTTGGCAGTGCTGTCCCCCCGCACAATAGCCCGCACTCACCCCCCAGCAGCAGCAGGTGGCGCCGCGCCGCGCCCTGCTCCTGCGGGCCCGCCTCCCGCTCCCGCCCTGCGCTCGGTCCCACTCTGGCTCGCCCCTGCGCGGGCGGGCGGCGTTGCGCTTCCCCTTTCGGGGGTTAGGGGCGCCGCCTGCAACCAACACCAAGGTCTGGTTCGCGGCCTCCTTGCGCGCGGTTGGCCTTGCGCCCTGCCGATGTGCCGTCTGGGCCGGCCCGTCGCACTGCCTGGGTGAAACGGCCTGCGTTGATGCAGACCACCCTCTACCCCGGGCCCGCCTGGCGCGCCCCGACGGTTGTAACGCCAGCAGTGCCCGGCGTCTGGAGCGGCGGCGCTCGCAGCTTTCAGCCCGTGGCTGGCGGCATGTTGAATGTGCAAGCACACACTGAAGCCCAGGCGTCAGACGCGAGCCGGACATGCCCTGCTTTCGGTGTTCGGCCTCTTGCTTGGGTTCGATACAGCTGTGGTAGGCTGAGGCACCAATTCACTGGCTGGATCTGGGGGTCAAGCTGCGTGGGCCCCGTGTCGGGGCATCTGTTGACCAGCTGAGCTCCCTCAGGCAGCGACTTGCAGCAGCAGCAATGTGCCCGAGAGAAGGCACGAGGGACGGCAGCCCAGCATGCGCATGCTAATTATAAAATGGTGAAGCTTCAGGCTGTGGCATGCCAGGATTCCTGGGGAAGTGGGCAAGATTTGCGCGGTTCCGGTCTCTCCACCACCCGTCAACACCGCCGAAGGCACCGAGCCAGCCCAATGTGTGTTGCGCTTGATATAATTCTCGTAATTTTACAACGATTTCAATTGCTTTCAGCCTCTGGCGTATCACCCGTGTTGGTGGGGTTCGTGTGAGGGGTGAGTGCCTTAGGGCGAGGTCCGCGCGGAGACGGGAAGCGTCGCCCATGATATTTTTTGTTTGAAGGGCGATTCAGGATCACAATCAGTGCGATTCGACGTGATTCGCAGCGCTCACGACATCTCCTACAATCTGTGAGAGCATTTGGACCGCACCCCGCTCCTCGCAGCTTGCGGAAGCCAGACGCCGACGCAATGAGGACCGCCACCATGCAGCAGCAGCGGCCAGCGTTCGCCGCGGGCGCGCGCCTGGCCAGGCCCGCGCTCGGTGTTGCCCGGCCGGCGCGCACCTCGGCGGTGCGTGTGCGTGCGGCGGCGGATAACAAGGTGCTGCCCGCTGTCCTCAGCACCTTTGATGACGAGGTCAAGGAGCAGAGCCGCAAGTACAGGCGCACGGTGGGGCCGCGGCAGCGGGGCGGGCGGGCCAGATGGGAGGGGCTGGGCGGCGAGGGTTGCCTGTTTGTGGCCGCGGTGGGCTGGGGGGTGGCCGCGCTCCCTACGCGCGTGTGCAGCGCTTGGCGCGCACGTGTGCCAGCTGGGGCGCGCATTGCCTCCCCTGCCTCGGAGCGACGGCGGCGCGGGAGCGTGGGCGCCGCCTCGCTTCAAACCGCAGTGTCAAAGGGGCTACCGCTCGGCCGCACTCAACCATCCGGAAATTCTCCAACCCCCCACAGGGAGCTCCCTGCGCCACC